CCTCCTCCTCCTCCTCCTCCTCCTCCTCCTCCTCCTCCTCCTCCTCCTCCTCTGACAGCTTCAGTGATCACGAGAGGTGCCTCCTGACCAAGGATAGGATATAAAATCTATTTGTGAAAAGGTTCTCCTAACTGCAATTTGTATTTAAGAGGAGTGGTAACTCCAGGAGAACACCAGATTATGCATACACTGACGAAAAGTAACCTTAGCTAGAGTTAGATGGCAAATATCTTGTAATGGTTGACCTGAGCTAGTTATTTCCCATCTTGACTTGTTCAGCCTCCAGGCACTCAAAAATCACCTCTGCAGCAACACTTGGATAGCTTCAGGTGAAGGTATACAACTATCATCAGTATGTTTTATACTATGCAGACAAATCACCCCACTCAGCAGTAGATATTTAAATAGAAGTGAAAAGAGAGTTTAGCCCTGCATAAAGTAGACACCTAGACCTACCTACTCTGCACCTACCAACACTGTCTGAAACTGGTCTTGGAGGAAGCAGGAGACTCACTGAAGAACCATATAAACTAAACAAATAAATGCCTCCCACTTCCAAGCCCTTAAGCTGGACTAGTGGGATACCAAAACTGATGGTATCAAAAGCCACTGAGAGATCAAATAGCATCCAGATGAATCCACCACCCCTATCCTGAGCCCCCAGAGATCCTCCATGTGCACAGTCAGTACAGTACGCTCTTAGTACTACTTCCTCACAATAATGCAGACATGTCAAACTCAGGACGTCACATGACGGGACTGTTTTGCCATTGGCGAGAATGGGGTGGGTGCGGCTTCTGCGTGATGCATCCGGCCTACGGGCTGGCAGTTTGACACCCCTGCTATAATGGGTCCAGAGAATCTGCTTCTTCCACAGACCTTTGAATATATGGGCCTGCCACATTCTCAGCAACCTTTCCACAAAAGGAAGCTTGAAGATTTGACAAAAATTGTGCAGTACTACTAGGTCCAGTGTTGATCTCTTAACAAGGGGGCAGTCATGCAGAAGTGTCCATCCTGTAAAGCAGGAGTCCCCAGCCCCTGGTCCATGAACCAATACCATTGGGAACTGGGCTGGGCAAGCAGCAGCTGAGCATGCGAAGCTCCATTTGTGCAAGTGGCAGGCACATATGTGAAACCATCCCCTTCCCCCACTACCACCTAGTGGAGCTTGGAAGGTTGGGGACTGCTGCTGTAAAGAATAATTTACCACTTTCTGGACCCAGGTACATATTACCTACTAGAAGACCTTGAATCAGCCAGGAAGGACATGGATCTAACAAACAGGTGGCAGAATTCAGCAACTCCATAGGACCAGCACAGCCAGAGTTTTAACTGGGAGCAGATTCATCTATGTTGTGCCACCTTATCACCACAGTATAGATTTTAACACAGGCTCTTGAATGCTTCATTTTCCTGGGAGGGTGGGGGATCTAGGCCCTCTCCTGGAGCTGCTCCAAAAATCAAGGGACCCTCTGGGATCCATAACACAGAGTCCAGTTTGTTCTAAGGCTGCCATTGCCTGCTTATTCCAAGCAGTAGCTAAGACCTTGACTGAACTGTGCAACAGATTTAGGAACTCTAAGTTCCTTTGGAATCCCACTAGATTCATTAGGTGCCTGGGATAGACTGATCAAAGAGATCCCTCCTGTTGGAACCTCCTTTCTTAGAAATTCTTAATGCATAATGCTGGTTTAAGATTGTTATTATTTCTAGATACTTGCTTGGATATTAAACATTTTCTTTGTTTGTTTTTTATGCTACTAGTTGAGGTTGATCCTGATCTTGATAAGGAATCGCAAGATTATCTGGAGGCATTAGAACAAGTGACAAGTGAACTAGAGCAATGTGTGAATCTGTGCAAGTCGCATGTCATGATAGTCACCTGCTTTGATATTGGAGTAATCAATGACATCCAGGATGGAGCACAAGAAGTGGAAATTTGAAAACTTTTGTGAAGGGATTTAAGGCAGTGAAACCAAACTTTCAAGGAAGGAAGAAAAAAATAGGTGTATTGGAAAGTGAAGGTGGAGGCGTGAGAATTTATTGCGACAAGGAATGTTGTGGAAACCAGAAACTGTCAAGGAATTGGAATGTTCTAAACCTTTATGGTGCCTCAACAATCTATGAATTGTACAAAGCTTACCATAATTTCTAAAAGAGAAAAGCAGAGAAGAATACGCTGAGAACTGTTTGAAAAGTGAAGTGCCTTTACCATTCATTTGTGACTTGTTTCCTTAATTTTTTATTTGTTCCTATAATTGAAACCAGCAAATCAAAACAAATCATAAAATGTATTCCTATGAAATATTTTCTACTGTATAGTGTAATTTATGACTATATGTAAAAACAAAACAAAAATTGTAGCAAAAGCAATAATTATGTTTTCACACCTGAATTTGCCTCCTTGTTTCATGGAAAAGCTGGTTTATGTAGCAGAACAACAACAAAAAATTATATTGTAATTGCTTTTTCATGGTTTAGGATTTGATATATTTTTATGAACATTATCTATTGGAAAGGTATATAATGACATTTTGGAGCACTTGCTTTGTATTCAGTTTTGATACTCTTTTTCAGAACACGCTTTTTCCATGTTTTTTCTATACAAATATTAGGGCTGAAATGTTTAATAGATTGATTGGTTACATTTGTCAATGAAAACACCATAAGTCTGATTAAAAAGGTGCCTCCTGATTAACTGAGCAGCAGATTTTAAAACTTTTGTTTAAACCTATTTTTAATACAAGGAAAAGCTGAGGATGGCATGTGGCATTTCCAGTTCTCTCTGCTACATACACAGAAATGTCTGTTCCCAGGTGGTGCTTATTGCAACATACCTGTGCATGTGTTTTTTTAAAAAAAGATACATTACTTTTTCCTCTTCAGACTTTTTGTTTTTATTTATGTGCATTTAAATGATTAGTGAATTAATTGATTAGTAACAAGCCAAAACTCAAATAGTTGATTGGCCAATATTTCTTTTATCAGACAGCAGTTCTAATAAATAGGTTAACCAGTTAAGTAATTTCATGGGTAACATTCCTAAACTACAAAGCTCAGAGTGGCTTGAGATTACTTGTTGGTAGGTCTGCCATAAGAGATAGGCAATGAAAGCCTTGGTAATAAAGGACAACCTATATGTTATTGCACAAACATGATTCCATAAAAGACCCAGTGGTTTCTACTCCTAGTCAAATCAAATTTGGGAGAGAAAAATTTTCAACAGTGACACTTTACTCCATTGTTGTAGAGCTGTTAGAAAGAGTGTTGAGCTAGCAAATTATCAAGTAGGATATGGGTCAAGCACCACATCATGGTTTTGCTTTTGAAAATGGCCTCCAATCTCTTTGACTAGAAGAAAAGAGCTATGAGAGCTTTTATACACGTGTATGTATATTATATAGTTTTGCCCTAACTCTGATAATTAATTGCATTCATTACTATCCCCCTTTCCTAGAATTCCTTAACCAGGGGTTGGCATCATGGAATCTCTTACCCCAATATATCTATCTTGTTTTTTACCATTGGAAAAGCTCCTCCCACCATAATTACTGTCCCACTGAACATGCCTGGGGTGCCTGGTCATTGTTCAATCTTGGACCAATGACGTGTTGAATTGGGGAGGGATGGTGGAGTATAAAGTTGCCAGCCCCTGCCTTAACCTAACTTGATGAAGTCTGTTAACTACACTGTGGCTTTTCTCTCTTCTGAGTGCAGGAAAAAAAGAGTTGGTTCCAGACTTAGTCACAAGAGCAGATCCACTGAAATAAATTCATTTCCTTTGATTTCAGTGGGTCTACGTATCCTATGACCAGGCTGGATCTAATCCTCTGTTTACAGCCAAAATCGCACAGAAGTGGGGTATAATGTTTTCTTGGGGGAGGGGGGTAATTATTAAGTTAGTCCATATTTTTGTATAGTTTTAACAATAAATATAGCATTTGCATTTTATGAACTTTGAAAGACAAATATATCTTTTTACAGTTTTTCTAAGGAAGGCAAACTCTCAGGATTGTTTCTAGACATGCTGCATGAATTTTGTGCTCTTTCTCCCTTTCTTTCTATTCTTTTTAAATAAAACCACTTTCAAGTGGAGACTGTTGATAAATTGTTGCCAAACAAAATAACTTTTCGAAAAGTTTGATAGTGTATGTAATGATTGCATTTCATAGGGAACCATATTTTCTGTCATCCTACTATGTACGGGGTTGCATTTCCCCTCCAGATCCTTTGTATAAATGTATACAACAATGGCTTGCTTCAGCTTTTCCATGTGAATAAAAAGATTTGTCTATTGCTGTTTTCTTAATTTTAATGGGTACCTTTTTCTTCTATAGCAGTAGGGAATAGAACACTTGTACTTGTCATCCTTAAAAGAACCAGTGTAAAGCACCAGGGTAGAAAGTGGGAGTTCTAGTGCTCCCTTAGCTAGGAAAGCCAGCTGGGTGACCTTGGGTCAGTCACTCTCCCTCAGCCCAATTCACCCCACAAGGCTGCTGTTGTAGGGAAAATAGAGGGAGGAAGATATGTTGGATATGTTCGCTGCCTAGAGTTAGTTGTAAAAATAATAAAGGCAAAATACGAATAAGTAAAAATAAAAAGTTCAATGTATGTTAATTAAAATACATACATAGTAGCTAGGATCTCTGTGATTTATATTAAGTAATACATTGATCCAATCTGGGTTGGTCACCAGGACCAGAGGTTTAGTCTTCCAAGCTTTCAGACTTGTGCTGGAGCTCATCTTCGGGGAACGTCTCTCTAGCAGAATGTGTGTGTGTGTGTGTGTGTGTGTAATACTTTCATACTACTAGAAAATTATTGGTGGTGGTGGTGGTTGCGGATGTATAGTATAACCTTTTTTGAAATGCCAGATGTTAGTTTTTGGATGCTAGGATAGAATCTAGTAATATCCATCCTTCATAATTGGATCCAAACCTATCATTAGAAGTTGGAATATGGGAAGGAGCAGCAGTAAAAGAGCATGTGGGAAACATTGGGGACCATTGTTGGCATATCTCTTCTGTAAAGAATAGAAATTCAGGGAATATAATACAGCCATTTGTTTAGTGACAGTTCAAAGTTATAACAGTATAAAAAGTGATTTATTACCATTGCAGCATTCCCATGGTCCAATGATAAAAATTCAGACACTTGGCAATAGGCATGTATATGATGGTTGCAGTGTCCCAGGGTCATGTGATCATCCTTTGCGACCTGACAAGCAAAGTCAATGGAGAAACCAGATTCACTTAATAGTGTTACTAACTTAACACCTGCAGTGATTTACTTAACAACTGTGGTAAGAAAGATCATAACATGGAACAAAAATCATTTAACAACTGTCTTGCCTAGTAATGGAAATTTGGGGCTCATTTGTGTCATAAGTTGAGGAACTACCTGTAGCATGAATTGGTCAGCATCCATTACATCTTATAAAACAAAAGGACAGAGACATTTTAATAATAGAATGCATTCATATGCTGTAAAATGCCAAGGATGAGGCACTTGAATATAAGAAAAGATGAATTGATCAACTAAAATTTAGAATAACAACAGCAGCTGCAGCATGAAATGTGTATAAATTTTCTGTGCTTTTCTGTGGAGTTAGCAGAAAGCTCAATCTATAATTATAAATCCTAATTATTTTCCTTTCGTATTCATACACTTATTTGAAGAAATAACAATTACTCAGAAGGTAAACAGCCTCAATTACAAAATCATTAAGCACCAAGCTATCAGTTAAAAGGGATCAATTCTTGTTGCAAAAAGAGACTACAATTGAGACAAGTAGATCAATTGGCTGATCTCTTAAGCAGAAGAGAAAAAGTACAATGCAATCCAAGAATTTCATGGGATGAAAGCAGGATTCTGTCACTGGATAGTAGAAATGAAATTTTGTTCAAGACTTGCAAAGGGCAACCTAGGAATGGTATGTTCAATTTATATTGTAGTAATATCTTTAGTTGCAGATGAATGGTGGTCTATGATGAATGGATTGGGAAGCATTTATTAATCATATTTATATAGCCTCTCATCTCACTGAAGACAACTTTGGGTGGCGCACAACAATACCATACTCTTTCCATCTATTTCCCTGCTTTTTAAAGATTTTTTCAGGCACAAATCACTGCACAGAGACTGGGGCTATGCAGTTGTTGTCTTTAAAATCTTAAAATCCACCAAATAAATTGATGCCAATGATTGAAAAATGTGGTTACACAGTATATATGTGAATGATTTTTTAAAATGATTTTAAAAAGAATTAGGGAAAGCGTAGGTTCACCACATTCACTCCTTCCTGCACGCAGATCAATCAAAGAAATTAAATATAGAAGCTGGGCAGGAAATTGGAATTCTACATATCATCTTTTGGCCTTTAAGTCACAATGAAGTTTCAGGCAGGAAATCGAGGAAGGGAAATGATTTCCATCAGACTGTCTGAGCTGATTGCAGATAGATCACCTCCATGGTAACTAGTGCTCTCTGGATATGTGGGATTCATCTCATCTGACCAACATAGCCATTGCTTAGAATGCCGGGAGATGAATTCCACAGTTCTGGATGAAACTCAGATGGGGGAAGGCCGTATTGGTGCTTTCTAAAGATCCCCATCCTACTTTGTATTTTAGTCCCCACCAATTATCATTTTCTGAACAAAACCTCTGGATCTCTTATGCAAATAGAGCAAATGGAAGTTTGTGAAGTCTTTCCATTACAAATACTGATATTAACAAATGTGGAAGTCAGTGAGCTTCTAGTACTATTTCCTGGCAACTACTGAACAGAAGATCTCTATAGCCACCTCTCAATTGTTATTATAATCCGTGATATGGATAGAAATAGGATGGATTTTTAAAAAATATTTATTTCCATTTTGACTGTCACACCAGAATTTTGAAAATAACTTCCCCTAATGTATTAGTAAATATCGTACATATTT